CAAAATACTCGGCATTAGCAGTGTGTCATTTTTACACTTGTCCTTTGGAAATCTCCAATTACAACTTCCAATTCCATAGCACGTTTAAGGAGCACGGAGTCTTTTTGTTGTAGCCTTCAGGGAGCAAACCAGCCACTGAGAGAATACGAAATTAATCCACTACAGCTATAGAGAGAGAGGATTATGCTTTAATCCCCTTTGGGACAGTCTCTGCATTTTAAGAATCCGATATAAAAATGTTTACAGAGAGCGTAATCAAAATATTGAGGATTTTCCATATGGCTACGGGGCTATCGGGGAAGCTCTGGGTCCCCTTCCAACGCACCCGATTTATCAATATAATGGAACAAAAGCCGGGCACACCTGAGCCGAGCGCCGAGGCTCGTTCCTACGCGGTGCTGAGCCCCGGGCACCGCGGAGCCGCCGCTCGGGAGGGGAGAGGGGAGCGGGGAGAGCGGCCGTGCCGGTGCCGTGAGGGGATCGGGTTGGGGATGGAGCCGCCGGCACGCTTCGGCTCCAGGGGATAAGAGAGGCGGTGGTCGCTCCCGCTCATCCCGAGACTCGGGGCTTGGCGAAAAGAACGCTCGGTTGAAGCGCTCGCCAGCTGTTTGGACCCTAAACGAGAGCATCTCCGAATTATTTCGTTGCCTCCTGTCAACCTGAAGCGGTCCGGGCAGCAGAGAGGCTGCGAGCTAACAAAGAGGTTCTGGCCTTAAAAGCAAAGCAGGAATCACTTTGGATCCGAGAGTTTTGTGATCTGCTCAAATGGAGGATTTTCCACTCTGCCCGATCCCTGTGGTCTGCACATGTGATTTACATTTCTAAAATAAACGCTACTGCACGTATACATTTTAAAATAATATTTCCTTTCCAAAAGTAAATGACTGTGGGATTAGGGGGTCCCACTGAATACAAGCAGAATGTAACCTCTCTCCTCCTCTCTGCTAATTTTTGTTCAATGGAGACTTCAGTTGGTGCATTAGTTCTTGCAGCTATATTCTAGTGCTTGTATTTTTCAAGGAAATCAATGCAAGCAAAAAGCTCCAACAGGTGAGAGAGTGTGAGATCTTCTAAAGCACCACTGACACAATCCCAACTCTTTAGGGAAGCCCCAAAAGAGTGATATTGTGAAAAGTTACTTCAAACGTTTTTGCTTTCATAAACTTTGGAAGAGTTGAACATGGGGTATGGTTAGGAGTCTGAGAATTACACCAGAGGTACATTTACTAAGACAGTTGGGTGTAATTCTTCCTCAATAAGATAAGGTATGCTCTCTTACATGCTGAATTACAGAAGCAAGCAGTTTTACCTACTGCAGACTTACAAGTCTAAAAGTAGTATTTTGGTGATTATTAACAGATGAAAAAAACTCAGTGGGCCATATACTTTGAAAATGGTTCCAGTCATCCAGACCAGTTATATTTTACGGTCTCCTGATAATTATTCTGATAAAAAGTGGTGAGTATTGCCACATTTAATTCTGAGATGTCGCTATTCTAAAAGAAAAAAACAGAATTTCTTTTTCATAAAGGATTTAGAATGGAAAACACAGAACAGAACAGTTGAAACTAATTACTAGGTAAAGTAGTTTGTATAAACTATAATGGTAATTCAATATGATACCTAAACAAACAAACAAACAAAAAAAAAAAAAAAAAAAAAAAAAGTTAAGGATAACTATTAAACGTCAGCCACAATGTGCCAGAAATAAGACAACTGAAATTCCCTCAGCAGTTTCATTCCAAAGCCAAATGTATCTGACACCAGCTTCCATTAAAAATGACCACAAGTCCCTATATTTGACACAATTTGTGTGTGACAACAAAAGCTCACTCACACCCAAAACTTCAGTTCATGTCAGATAAACTACACAACACGCAAGCAGAAATAGGGATAAGCACCAGAAGCCTTTGGGGAAAGCCTTGTAGTCAGGAAAGCAAAACATATTTCAACAAATTAATATCACGCACACACGCATATATAATGTTATTATTAATCTAACACTCATACAAGCTCTGCCACATTAATAATAAATAAAGAACTTGTGATTCCTAAAGAAATTCGCAGATTCCTAAAGAAGTTTCCAGAATTCAGCCTTTTTTTTTTTCTTTTTTTTTTCTTTTTTTTTTCTTGGATCCTATTGGCATCAAAAGTTCTGAAACAAAGTACTCTCTGAAAAGACTTCTGCAGTAAATACATTGGACTTACGTGAGGATGGTGGCCCTCAGTTTGTTCTCCACCACCACAGATACAGGGAGCAACTCCTTCATTCAAGCCAAAGTTTCTAGAAGAGTGCATCTATACATCTCCCTTCACGTATCACTTTCAACAGTTGCAATGAAGAAAACGATTTGCACAAGTTTTTGATTGCAAAAAAGAGAACCTTATTCTAAATGTGACTGTTATAGTCCTGTGTTTCTCCTCCTGCATTGAATAACAATCCCAACTCCTTTCCTGTTCTTAAAGTTTTCAAAGCTCACTTTCCTGGCTTTTTACTCTTCCACAATCATATGTTTCACATTGTGAGGGAGGGATTGATTTTTATTGTTTGTTTGAATGTCAATGCCAGTGTGGATAGGCCATGATATCCAAAATTTTCCCTACTTTTTCCTTTTTCTCCTCCA